GTAACTTTGAAATTAAATGTTCATAATTAAATGATATCTGATTAACGAATTGACCAATTTGAATTATGTTAAGACAAAAAATTATCTACTTGAAATTATCTCGATGATGATACTTTAATTTTATATGGATTCATTTAATTAAACGAAAAAAATGCATCTAAAGTATGTAGTGGATATTTAATAATTAAAAAAAATTCAAAACGCTTTTTATAACTTAGCTGTTATAGAAAGATACACCATATCGCGAACTTTTTTGTAGATTTGTTTTAGTCCAACAATTCATTAGCACGTAATTTTGTCTTATCTTTAACTGTTTAAGCAGCGCGTGCGAAGTAAGGAAATTCTTGAGACGAATTTTTACACCATGGTTAACATAACCTGTTTTTCTGCCCACATGTCTAAGTTTTTACAAATAAATTATAGCCTATGTTACTTCTTTCTATTAGAGAAAAAACGATTAAAATCGATCCGGTACTTTTGGCAGAATGCCGGACGTGGATGGAGCAGAGGCGAGACCTCGTGGCGGCCATCGGAGTGGGAGTTCTCTCGCTCGTTAACCTGATGGCGGCTATCGAGCAGAGCGAGAGTGCGTGGAACTCTGCCGTCTCCTTCTGCGAGCAAGTTATGCTTGCGAAGGAGATGGCGGAGCGGAATGGTCGCAGAACGACCTCCGTCCTCCATAAGCGCAGGCCTGGGGGTGACAGGTGAGGCCATCTGTCACCCTAGCAGTAACAGGCCGGGGTGGCGGGGAACGCGTTGCGAAGCGCGCGCGCCCTTCCGGGAGCACAGAGGGAACATGGAGGTTGACACACAGGGGAGGTCGTCTACCCGCCGTAGATGGCCCGAGGTACGTCGGGGCACCAGAAATTTCCTTTCTAGGGTGTACCTGGTTCCCCGACTACAGGTACCTGAGACGGCGTGCGGTTTTAGTCGGTTCGAGTTCGACATTGCCACCGGTAAGTGTGCTATCCGGAGGAATTTCCGAACAGAAAAAAAAATGGCGGTCACAAAGGGCAGGAAGGCACTTGTGACTTTTAAGTTAAAGGCAAGCTGGTGACCCGTCTGCTCGGTGGCCCCTATTGCATAAAAATACTTTACTTAAAATAAACTACTATGTGCGACTGCTGTGCTGAGGTCTCGGGTTCGATGTAGGGGTCAGACCAAATGTTTATATGACCTGCAAATTATTTAGAGTTTGAGTGTTTTATATGAAATGAAATCATTAAATGATTTTTAGTTCTGCAATTAAATCTTTTCAGACATTTTTACAAGTCGGATTGTATAATATGTATGTATTTACAATAAAGTAAGTAAGTAGTACTCGTATATGCAAGCTCTGCTTAGTTTGCAACTAGATGGTATTGTTTGTTTAAATGATGTATTATGTATTATTACTATAAACTCTGCATAAAAACAGTCTCCTAACACGTCACCACAAATGATTAATGATTCTTATCACGTACTTAATGACTTTAGTCATTTTATATTTAACACATAAAACTCGTAAATCATCTGTATTTGACGTACATCTTACAATGCAGTTAACAAGCCCATAGAGGAGTACAATGTGTGTACTCGTACGTCATCACCACCATAAACCAAGATATCGTGCACTACATGTCATTCATATAGACAGCCAATAATGTGTGACAGACGGCATCAAATCACAAGTCATGATTTTAGTGACGTCACATTTTAAAATGTTTTTAAAAGAAAAATTAATATATTTTTATTTAAGAAAAGTTCTTAATCCGTCACCACACGGACGATGGATTAAGAATACAGATTGTCACCACCCGAAAAAATTACGCAGAACAACAACACTGCAGAGAGAAGGAAAACTTGACACAAACCCTATACCAACCCGTCTGGCTAGCGTGGTATAGTAGGCCAAATCCTCCTTTCTAAGGAGAGGCTTATGTCCAGCAGTGGACTATTAAAGGCTGTTGATGATGATGATGATAACAAAAGTTAGATCAACTGTTTTTATTTATCCCGGGTCAGACTTAGTTTAAAACGTCACAACAAAAGGCCAATTCTCGTAATAAAAGTTCGATCACAATTCAGTGCCGATCAACTTTCGATCTCGCAACTGTCATAAAAGGTATTTTCGTAGTAAAATAGTAAAGTATTACTAAGACTAGCAGATTACCGATTCAATTTTCGGTTACAATACGATATAATCACATTACAGTCAACGCTGGACGTTTAAAACTTTGCTACGAAAGTACCTTTTATGAACAGTTGTGAGATCTAGAATTGAATTGTGATCGAACTTTTAACTTTATTACGAGAATTTTAACTTTAAAATTTATCTTTTATTACGAGAATTGGTCTTCAGGCAAGGATCCTATAAATGCGCCCTCGGGCAGGATTTTGTTAAAATATGAATATATCCCGTGTCGCGGGGGACTTTACAAACATACATAAAACGTACACAAAGGACACTCAGACTCAGAATAACAATTTATGGACCACACAAAGTGTTGTCCATCCCCCATGTACCATTACACAACACTCAGCGTCGTAGTAAGCGGCGTGGCGACCGCTTAAACCACATAAATAAATAGTCTATACTTATTGCACACCAAAAAAGTATTCTACAATCTAAAAATATGTATGTTAAGAAACAGTACAATATAAAACTATTATCAGACCTGCCGTCCTGTATGGTTCTGAACGTTGGCCCATTAAGAGAACGGATGAGAGACGCCTGAACGTAGCCGAAATGCGAATGCTGAGATGGATGTGTGGTGTGACTCAGATGGACAAGGTTAGGAATGAGTATATACGAGGGAGTCTGAAAGTAGCGCCACTGAATGAAAATTTAAGAAGTAATAGGTTATCTTGGTATGGACGTGTCATGAGGAGGGATGAGGAAAATGTGGCGAAGAAAGTTTTAGGTATGGGAGTTGAAGGGTACAAGAGAAGAGGCAGACCGAAGAAAAGGTGGATGGACTGTGTGAGGGAGGATATGGCTAAGAAGGGAGTAAACAGTGAGATGACGCATGACAGAGTAGAATGGAAAAATCATACATACTGCGCTGACCCCAAATAAAATTGGAAAAAGGGTAGGCAGATGAATGAAACAGTACAAAGATTGATCTTATCGCAGTCTGCGATTGCAAACGGACAACCAGGGTGAACTATACTGTATAGGAATACTGTAATACTAGTTATTTTATTAACGTCTGACTGGTATTAAGAACTACAGGCGAGTACCTAAATCACAGATCATCGGAGGGACACCGGGTTCTAATAATTTGTAAAAGAAATTTAAGATGGCCTCGGTAGTTTACTTGTTACTCGGTAGTTGGCTTTGGAAGGGGCCTTTTTCATTTGCTAAAGTGGGTAAAATCAACTTCAAAGCGTTGTTATGTACAGAAAAATACTTGTACTTTGGAATAGAGAAGACAGACAAGGCAGTTGTGATATCAATCGACGTGGGAACTTTTATTAACATAGAGACCTGATGGTCTGGTGTTTAGTGACCCTGACTGCTGTATTTCGGTTTATATAAAGCTAGCTAAGGACCATAAGATGTAGGGAATTTGATTGATCCTCGTATGGCTGATTGGTATTTAATAAATATAGAAAAAATAACATTATTCAAAATCTCTAATAATTTGTCTTGGTATATTTCATATATTAATGACACACCCACTGGTGGGTGGTATCCGAGAGGAGCTCCGCGCGGAAAAAAGGGTACTTTTAGAAATTCGAATCAAACTGCGGGCAATAGCTAAAATATATTTTTATTCATAAAAAATTACAAATATTATATATTACGAATAAAAAAACCGAACAGATCACACACATCTTAACTTATCTGACACTTCAATCACTATTAAAAATAGTCATGGTTATTAATGAATACAAATTAACTACAAAACCGTTACGGTGCCACGGAACAAAAAAAGTAATGAGAAACTATTTATAAACATTATCGCGATCATTTGAAAAACACTTTATTGTAATACTTAAGAATCTATTACATCAAATAATTTAAAGAATATTTGTTGAGTCATTGAGAAAAAAATATTCTGCAAGGTTGGCGTAGTGGTTTAAGCTGTCAGCTCGCCGCTTCCTACTGCGCTGAGTGTTCGATCCCCACATGGGACAACACTTTGTGTGATCCACAAATACTTGTTCTGAGTCTGGCTGTTCTTCGTATACGTTTCATGTATGTTTGTAAAGTTCCACACGGCACTGGACACATGAATAGTGCGGGAGTTGACTTTCAACAAAATATTACTTGTTTAATAGATTTATTATATTGCGAAGGACCGTTCAGTACTGGGGTCCGATGGCCTCATTATTAAAGTGTAAGTGACCTGAAGTGATGGTATTGATAAAAGGAAGGACCCTTTCGGGTCTGAAACTATTTAAACAAAGTTATGTATTGTAACAAGTACCCTTAATTGTACACATTAGAAACGAAAAATAAAAACATAGAAGTGTGAGACTGTGGAAGAGCCAGGTTTCGGCACAAATAGGCCGGTGGTTTTATGCAATTCTTCTCAACGAATGAGCGAAGTTACAGGATCTCAATTTCCTCCCTCCCCTGATTCTGGGGTAAGGGGAAGGGGGGGGGGGGTATTACTAAAAAGCAGTAACACACTTGTGACCCTTGTTTTGCAGGCAGTCACCACCTGATCGTTTTGGGCCCTTACCCTTCACACATCATCAGCCTCTAATAGTTCACTGCTGGACATAGGCCTCTCCTTAGAAATAATGTTTTGGCCTACTATACCACGCTGGCCAGACAGGTTGGTATAGGGTTTGTGTCAGGTGTTCCTTCTCTTTGCAGTGCTGTTGTCCTGCGTAGTTTGCTCGCTTAGTCGGCTCTTACGACCCACGGAATGGATAGGGGTGGTGACTATCCGTATTCTTAATTCATCACCACACGGTGACCCTTACTTACCCTTTAAAGCTATATTATAAACATATATATATATATATATATATCTATTCACAGATCTCGACTATGAAATAAAAAAATGGAAAAGAAAGATCAAGTATCCAAAGACATAGAAAAAGGACTCAACTCTCCTGAATTGAGACGAAATAAGGACATACCATTCGCAGACGACTTCATCGAACTCAATCTAGTCAAAGCCGACGACCCTGTACGACCTAAACGAACAAAAGATGGGATAGAAGATACAGAACCGCTTATACCAGAAAAGGACATATCAAAAATCCACGCTGCTGACTTGGGAAATGTTCATTCCTCTCCAAATAATGATACTATAGTTGTAAATACACCAGAAGGGACTCTATACATAACTCTAGAGCCAGATTCTGGCAAGTCTTCCAAACCTTCAAGTCCAATTAGCCCTGATACGCAGTCAACAGATCTATACTCTTCTCCCAGTACCTCGAAGAGTTTCGGAGCTGCAGAGTCGGATGAGTTAATTAAAGAAGAGAGGGCCGCGATGGAAATGAGAAAAACTAGTTTGAGACGGAACTCAATATCGATGCCGACGTTGCAGAACTTGGAGCTGGAGGTGATGAAGCAACAGTATTTGAATAGCGATGGGGTAAGTGTTACCATACTATACATTTTTTTTCTTTGGCAATAATAATACTTCACACATCTCACACAGGGCTGTCTAATTCCAAACTAGGCAGAGCCTGTACTATGGTAACCAGCCTGCTGATTAACATACTTATATATTTCTAAATACATACATATTATAGATTCATTACACCCAGACACAGAACAAATGATCGTGCATATCAGTGATCATCGCGATCATTTGTTCTGTGTCCTGGGTGGGTTTAACGACCTCCAGTTTAGCAGTCAGGGTCACTAACCACTAGACCAACGAAAAGAAAATTCAAAAAATATGTAGGTACTTGGTTTACACGCAAGCTATTCTGTGGTGTAATGTGGGGCTGTCTGAATATCCGATTATACGGATGTCCGGCTATCCGGATCTATGCCTACTGGCACCTGTATTTTAAAAGATTACATTGTAAGCTTCAGATGAATTGAATATAGTTTAAGAATCATAGTAGCACATTTATAAACATTAATATCCATAATAGTTAAGGGAAGGGGAGGGTCTCTTATCAATATTAAAATCTCAACAATGCTACTTGTTTGAGACATTGAATATATTTGAGGGCTTTAAGAGTGTCATCTCCAGAGTTTGAATCACATAGATAAGCATCATACAGTCTTGACCCAGATCTTAGACATATAACGCAGAGTACAAAACTGGACTGGCCCGAAGAATGAAATAAACCGTAAGACAATAAAATATTGAATTGAATAGCTTTAAGCTCTGCATAAGATATGGAAATAAAAAAAATAACAACAAAAAACGTCCTAAAAAATAAAAAATGTCAAAATATTTAAACGCTGGAGTGATCTGGTTTGTTCATTTGGTCCAACGAAACCCTAAAAAGAGAAAATCAGAATAACAAGGGAGAAAAATAACTGAACTCATATTTATGTAATGCCAATCTATTTTCCGCGGATTCGCTTCTTTCGTGTTTCTAATCTTAGAAATAACGAACTTCCATACGACCGTTCATCTCTTATTTTACCACCTTAGGGATGAAATTTCCAAAAATACTTTATTAGTACGTACTTACAACATAAAAAGCATAAGCTGACAAAATTTCAAGGTTGTAGCTCCATCGGTTTAGGCTCAGCGTTTACGAATCAGTCTGCCAGTCAATTAATTTTGTATATCTAAGAAGAAAAGTGGGACTACAATAATTCTAGTTGGCATGTGTGTGGTGACGGATTAAGAATACAGAGTGTCACCACCACCAGAAATCCCCTCGGATACCACCACCTATCATGTCGGTGGCATGTCGGACTCGAACCGACTAAAACCGCACGCCGTCTCGGGTACTAATAGCCGGAGAACCAGGTATACCCTAGAAAGGAAGTCCCTGGTGCCCCGACATACCTCGGGCCATCTACAACAACAGGTACACGACCCCCCCCCCCGTGTGGGAACCCCACGTTTCCTAGTGTCACCACCCCTATTCATCCCGTGGGTATCGTAATAGCCGACGGTAAGGGAGCAAACTACGCAGGACAACAGCACTGCAGAGAGAAGGAAAACTTGACACAAACCCTATACCAACCCGTCTGGCCAGCGTGGTGTAGTAGGCCAAAACCTCCTTTCTTAGGAAAGGCCTATGTCTAGCAGTGGACTAGTAAAGGCAGTTGATGAAGATGATGGCATAATGTAAGCATTATTTATCTGCGTGATCACGAAATGGGGTTAAAGGCGTGGATTGTACGTAATAAAGTACTGGTCGAAATATGTGTGTTTTTAAATCCTCGCTAAATAAAGAATATTCGCTTATCGTTAACAATTGTCAACAATCGTTATCGCGATAATCCACAGATGATCTAAATATTAGTTCTGCCGATGGCCTTGCGCTTGTTTTTGGATAAACCACTTTATACTGTGCATAATTTACTATGTTTACACGAAGGCGTATTAGTGAGCAAATTAGTAATTAGTATTAGAGGTGAAACCTTTCTAAGGAGAGGCCTATGTCCAGCAGTGGACTACTAAAGGCTGTTGATGATAATGATGATTAGAGGTAATGAGAGTAACTAAACGCGCGTGAAAACATTGTATTAATACATGGACCGATACGACTTTCAAACCTTCAAGAAAAGAGCGTACTCCTGTCTAAAAGACCGGCAACGCGTTTGTGACTCCTGAGTTGCAGACGTTCATGGGCAGCGATGATCACTTTCCATCAGGTGGCCCGTCTGCACGTCTGCCCCCTCTAACATAAAAAAAAAAAACTCTGACTGTTTCTGACTGATCAACGCAGAGCCTAAACCCCTGGATCGATAATTTTGAAATTCTGGCAGCAAATGTTTTCTATTTAAAAAGAAGGAACACGACCTCCTTCTCAATGAGATGGCAGAATTATCCAATCGATAGTACACCAACTAATTTACTTACATTCACAGTGTACGAATATAATTTAGATTTGTATATTTTTGTATATGTAAATGAATATAGGGAGAGCCATGCCTCGGCACGAATGGGCCGGCTCGACTGGAGTGATACCATGGCCTCACAGAAAACCCGTGTTAGGCAATTCTTTAATTGCCTTTCACTGAGTGATTGAGGTTACCAGAGTCCAAATGCCCCCTCCCGCTGGCTTGAGCGGGAGGGACTCCAAGGGCGCCATTTTCACAGTAAGAAACACGAAATTAGAAATAATCACTAGCTAGTAAATTATACACACCTCACACAGGGCCGTCTGATCATAAACTAGGCTGAGCCTGAATTATGGTAACCAGACTGATGATAAACACACTTATAAATATCTAAACACATACGTATTTTTTGTTGTACTCTTTTGTTTTGTAAGATTTTGTCTTATAATAATTTTTAAGCTCACATTGTTTTTTGTAAATTGAGATTGCAATTTGGTGGTCCATGCTGTGCCTACCTGTAAGTGGCGTGATACTTAACTTTATACGTTTGTAAATACATCTTAATACTGTACTCGCCGTAGGTGGCCTAATAAATAAATATTATAGTTGTATTACACTCGGACACAGACCAGTGCTCATCACACAATTAATTGTTCTGGGTGGGCAATGAACCAAAGGCTTTTGGTTTGACAGCCAACATCACTTACCGCTTTACCAACAGGCCAACCATATGAGTCCCCGAGGGGTGTTTTGTACTTCCCTAACCCCTTCCCCTTATCGTTTTAGGACTTATGTAAAGTTTTATATAAGAATTTCCTCTGAAAATCATCGCCTGATGATGTATTGTGACGCATAAAATAAATAGTTCGTATTTTAATGTTTAGGTAAAGGTATATATTAACATATGATTAATAATTTAAATACATTACCGTTAAATTACCGTTTTAATATTAAATGTTGATCAACAACGACATACATATAACGCCATCTGTTAAATCGTTGTCGAACTACAAAGCTATGGTACATAATTATCTATGTACGTACTTTAATGAAACAGGAATATTGCACCATAAGTGTTCTGCCGTTATTTATAATTTTGATCAAATTTTATTCTTTCTATCTTCTCTCTGTAATTCCTGTCAAATCATTTTTACATGCATATATAATAAAAAAAGCGGAGTGTCACCGCCCCTATTCATCCCGTGGCTGTCGTAAAAGGTGACTAAGGGAGGAAACTACGCAGGACAACAACACAGCAAAAGTTAGGAAAACTTGTAACATACCTGGAAAAACACATGGGCTACTTTTAATCCCGGGAAAAAACGAACAAAATCATCAGTAACGCGAGTGAAGCTGAGCGCAAAAGCTAGTATTGGTATTGGTTGTGGGGTCCGATTTCCGCATTTAGACTCGAGAATGGGCCTTTATGCGTCTAGAAGAGGTTGGCTAGGCGAGCTAATTCCAGAAGCGCAGAAGCCTTCTGGAGCGTTCACAGTCTTCTAGGAGCGATTTTGTACCAGATATGGTGTGGCCACTCCCTCGTATTCCAGGATTACGTGGGCGGCCATTTCTTCTGCTTTCAGGCCCGTCCGTCGCATTAATGGTGAATAGTTGTCGGTTCAGGGCTAGGTGACCTGTTATGGTTCCTATAACTATTCGGATATTAAGTCTGCTCAGACAGATTAGTCTGCAAGTAAGTCGTGGTGAGACTTTAGTCAGCACCAGTTTGGACTAGTTTTTCCACCTACTCCAAAAGCTAGTATACAAATATAATACTAATTGTAAAAATGTTATTTACTTATTTATTTATTATTGTAATAATGATAATGATAATCCTGTCATTAACACAAATTTATCACAAAAACGTATTTTTCATCATTTATCTAAACACCCGGTGATTGGTGCAGAAATTGATAAAAACTACGAAAGCATTCCTCTAAGATTATATTATGAAATACTTATATGTTCCGCGTTTCGTACAAGTGTAGTGACATAAACATTTCATTTTAATAAACCAACGTCTATTGTTGATGTTAAAAAGTTGTATTTAAAAAAAGTAGCTTAGTTTCCTAATCAAATAATTTAATTCTTTATCTGTTATGGTGTGATTTAAAACTTGAAACCATGGATATAAGAAGAGAACGAAAGAAGCCAGATCTACGGATCAACATACCCTCATACCCCTCAGACTATGTAGAAATGCCTCCAGAAACAAGAGAGAAGATAGCAGCCGCAATGGAAAACAGTGCCATCCGTTACATAGATGATGACACATCTTCTGGAAGTAGCTCTGATGGTTACCGAGAGGAGTCTAGAACTCCAGAAGTCAGAATTGTAGAGGATGAAGGAAAGAACGAAGAGAGGATTGCTGATAAAGAGGATAAATCAATAGCAACGGAAAGTAAAAAAAAAGTTACAGTGAGTTTGATTTTATTTTAATGTCGCAACATTTAGTCGTTCAGGAAATGGTATGGTGACATTTTGTATCTGGTATATTATCCGTGTGTTATACATATATTATCCGGATTAAGAATACGGAGTGTCACCACCCCTATTCATCCCGTGGGTGTTGTAAGAGCCTACTAAGGGATCAAACTAAACAGGAAAATATCACTGCAAATACAAGGAAATCTTAGCACAAACCTTGTACCAACCCGTCTGGCCAGCGTGGTAGAGTAGGCCAAAACCTCCTTTTCTTATTGTAATCACCATCAACAGCCTTTAATAGTCCACTGTTAGAGATAAATCCAGCATTGGACTACCAAAGGCTATTGATGATGGTTATTTAATATCTATCAATCACATTACTAAATAATAATCGAACTTAACAGATGCGATAATGCATTCTACAAGTCACTAATATGATATTTATAAAGTAACATTGCATTCCACAAATCTGTAATTATAAGACACCATTGCCTTTGGAAAGCCATACTTCGGCTCAAGTGGGTGGTTAGGCAGTTCTATCTTTGCTTTTCACTGAGTGTCTGAGGGGGGAGGGAAGACCAAGGGGGTCAACGCTCTCGTAACTCTGGAGTTTGCCCTCCTTTACTATCAAATAACGCAAATAACGCATACTGACAAATGCAGGTAGCTTCATCTCTTCATAAAAAGCTCGCTCTCGCTCTCCAAACCAGAATTCCCGGAATACACACACTTAATAAATAGGTACGTAAGTTTTTAGTGTGATTTATTCGTCTTTTTGCATTTATTTAAATCAAAATATTCTTTATCTGATAAAGATTCGATAATGCACTGATCGTGACCTTATTATCTAAACAGGAGACAATAATGTTTGACTTAATATAATACTTAGAATCTTTTTAACATTTTTAGATCTAACGTACATATCCTTACGCCTTATTTCCGTCCAGGGTAGGCAGAGATGATGGAATGCTATTTAAGATCGATCGATCCTGACAGCTCCCGTGTCTTCCACTTTGATACACGCTAGCCGGTTACATGTGTTTTAAACGAAGCCCATTTCAAATATACTGCCGATCTGGTTATTATATGTCTTTTAAGGTCTGCCCGCACCGGCTTTTTATACATAATACACAAATATTTTTCAAATAATTACTTTACTATTTAATTCTTTGTTCAAACTATTCGCTTGTGGAATGCAATCCGCGACGCATTTAACCGATTAGCTGTTGTCAAATTAAGTTATTACAATTGAACAATCTTTTCAATATCAAATATAGTAGCGTTATGTTTCTTTCAATCCACAGTAAAAATTATCTTATCTGCAGTATGTCTGTCAAGTTGAGTAACAGTGTTTTGTAATACTGATAATCTATAAGATATACTTCCATTATCACGAATGTCATTGTTAAAAGTCTCTACCTGGTACCTATTAGGTGACAGCTCCCCAGAAACAAAGCATTATTTACTAAATTGGACTCGCCTGATGGTCTAGTCTTTAGCAAATTTGTCTGGTAAGTCAGAGATCATGAATTGAAGTCCCACCCAAGACAATAAATTATGTGCTGTGTGTGTAATTAATCTAAAACATGTATGTATTTAGAAATATATAAGTATGTTTATCAGCAGTCTGGTTACCATAGCACAGTCTCTGCCTAGGTTGAGATCAGACGGCCGCGTGTGAGAAGGGTATATTTATTTATATAATTGTGGAGTATGTTGTGCGAATATTGCGGTACTAAAGTACCACAGCGTCTGAGCAGCAATCTGTGGTGTGACACTGAAACCGCAGACGTCTATTTGTTAATGTACAACGTCCTGCATGGGGACAATCAATTCATTCCAGCTACTTAGAGTACGTATTTGTTGGTATCAGTTTCATTGTTAACATGACTTGCTTAGACACTGATCTTACTTACATCTGTAATATAACAAGGAGTTTAAACGCTTTTAAAAGTATTTAAGACATCTATAACACTATACATTTCTAGAAGAACAATTCTGTCGCATGTAAGGCCGACTTTTTTCTCGTTAGGCCCCATAGAATACACCAGGGACTTCCTTTCTAGGGTATACCTGGTTCCCCGGCTATTAGTACCCGAGACGGCGTGCGGTTTTAGTCGGTTCGAGTCCGACATGCCACCGACAGGTGGTATCCGAAGGGATATCCGCACGAAAAAAAAAAAAAAAAAAGGCCCCATAGAATAAATCTAAGGAGTCGTTTTAGGTGGTTTATTTATATTTTTTATTGGACCAGGGTAGATAACGCGATGGTGTTGCGTGTCCAAAATAAAAAAATAATGAAATATAGTGGGAGAGCCATGCTTCGGCACATACGGGCTGGGTTCGACGGAGTGATACGGCCTCACAGACAGCGCCAGCTGTCTGTGAGGCATCAATCAATGATTATCAAATCTTTGCCTTTTACAAAAGTATGAATATCGTTGTGCCCAATGATCTTTTAAAGAAGACATGTTATATTCACACTACACGCACAAAATGTTTGTTCCGTAACCGTACATACATCTATTAATGCAGTTTAGAACAAAACATACACTTACCTGTTGTATGATATTCCTTTGTCTTTATTTTTTGTCGTAATTTGTGCACTTTCAGAATACACAGAAAGGCATTTTATAAAATTTGGTCCTAATTAGGACCCTCGCTTTTTGTGTGTTGGAGGCGTACCTGTCAACCTCTTGTTTGTATATACATCATATCATTAGTTGTAACACAGGGAAGTACACAAGCACAATATTACAGAACTGTAGCAGATTTTTTAATAATTAATAAAAGTGGCAGTGATTCCTAAACCTATATACATATCATTTTCATTTTGTCTGTGTCGGGCCAAAACCTCCTTTATAAGGAGAGTCCAGCAGTGGTTTATTTAAGGCTGTTGATGTGGTGTGATGTATCAAAATTATGTTCAAGTTTTCAACTAAGCTAAAACGAGTTAAAAATTCTTGTCCGGTAAGTAAAACAAAGACTTGGCAATTCACAGAACCCAATGTTGAAAAATACCTAACTGCCCGACACTTTTTGCACATCCCTATACGGCATGTCCTAGTTGCCTACATCAAAAGCGTTTGTCCGTGATCTTAAACGCTGATCAGATTAGTCTCAAACCCTCACCTACTCAACACAGACCATACTGTACTATAAGTCTATAACTAGTCATCATCAGACTCCTGTGAAAGTTCTAGAAAGTTTAGTGTGAATTTTATTTAACTAATTTTGAAAATGGAACAAACTTGAATTAAAACTTTTAATTTAATTAAAAAATCAAAATCTTTAAAATTTTGTCATCACTTTTTACGTAACAGTAATAGAGACCGATAAAATAAAATAAAAAAGGCGGTAAAATTTACAACCTGTAAAATTGAAACTTTTTTTAAAATATCGTTCTAAATATGAATCCCGATCAGAGATTCAACGTGATCGCGCATAAATTTAAATACCGGTCGCCATTGTGGATCGAGTCGGACTCCGATGTGAGTAAAAGCAGTAGCGAGTGCGACAGGGGACTGTGCAACAGCGATGATAGCATCGAGTACAGAAGTTCGGACAGCTCTGGCAGTATTAACAACCTTCTGGATTCTAAGGTTATAACCACTTTTAATAATACTAACCGTTCCTTAAAATTCCACCTGTGTTATGATCCCTACTACGCTCCTAGCCCTAGCGGTCAAATTCAAACTTAAAGTACTATGTCAAGTTCCACGCGCGTCCAAATGCCAAACTTGCATAAAAAAATATGGCAAGTGAGCAGACAGGTCACTTGATGGAAAGTGACTACCGCCGCTCATAGACATCTGCAACTTAAGAGGCACACGTACCTTGCCGCCCTTTTAGTTCCCTCCCCTAAATCCGGAGGGAGGGAGGAGGTTTGGGCTCTAGCAGCCCCACTGAACAATGAAAGAAAGACCTTATTACACCTTATTCTTTGAAGGCCTGGTATCACTCCGGCCGTGCCATTTGTGCCGCTGCCAAAGCACTCCCGCTACATTGTATAATATTATTAAAAGTCCAAGTCTATTGGAAAATTGCCAATTATAAGCAAATTACTTAGACATTTCTTTAAGTTAGTAACTAAGGTACTACAAGCGTTTAAGCCTATTTTCACAACTAACGTAATGAGAAAGACATCTTAAACTTTAATTTAAGTGTAAGAATGACAAAATAGAAGCAATTACCTGCATATTTATCCTATCTTTGTCTCGTTTTCAAAAGAGTCTAAAATGAAATCTATACTAATATATAAAACTGAAGAGTTTGTTTGTTTGTTTGAACGCGCTAATCTCAGGAACTACTGGTCCGATTTGAAAAATTCTTTCAGTGTTAGATAGCCCATTTATCGAGGTAGGCTATAGGCTATATATCATCACGCTAAGGCCAATAGGAGCGGAGCACCAATGAAGAATGTTTCAAAAACGGGGAAAATTTATTACTATTGAGAGACGCAGACGAAGTTGCGCGGGTCAGCTAGTAGAATTATAAAATTATGGGGCGAAGCATTGAACTAATATTCGTTGAACATTATATCTAAATGGGGCTAAGATTAAACTAAAAACACTTCCTCTACACAATCACGCGTCGTTAAACGCTCATCCGATAAAAAATATGTCAATTATTCACTTGTTAGAAACAATAATACTAGAAATTCACCGGCGGTAAACTTTTAGAACGTTGGTCTAGATATAACGAACAAATTTATAGTAAAAGAAGATTTAATACAATTGTCAAAAGCAACAACACAATCCATCCACAGCCTTTACTGGTCTACTGCTGGACACAGGCCTCTCCTTAGAAAGGAGGTTTTGGCCTGCTATACCACGCTGGCCAGACGGGTTGGTGTAGGGTTGGTTTCAAGTTAACTTCCAGGAGGCGGCGCGCCTGGCCGCCACGGGAGTCTCCCTGGTGGTCGGGCGCATTGAGGCGTTGGGTTTGCGGGTGGCCCTGGATGAGACGGAGGCCCTATTATTTCATGGGCC